GACGCGCGCACCCTCTCCGCGTCCTGGCGCACGTCCCCCCCACCTCCTTAATTTCCTGGAACCCCGAAAACGCAGCCCCGAATTTCCATCTCGCTCGGCGCGCTCGTTTCTCTCCGTTTCGCGTTGGAAGTTTTGGTTCCCTTCGGTTTACTTTCTGTTCACTTTCATTAAAATGCCATCAAGCGAAGGAGTTTATTGACGGGAGAGCCCAGCGTTACAGGGGCGGTTTTTTTAGTTGGAAAGAATAAAAGTCTCGAAAGATGAAGCTTCATCTTAAAAAAATAATAATAAAAAAATCAGAACCGGGCTCTTGTTAATAACTTTGCAAATGCAACTCCACCTTTTGATAAATTTATTTCATGCGAGTCGTTACGGGGCCCAGGCGTTCGGTAGGTGATCTGTGGCCGGTCATCAATTATAGTGATTTCCTTGCATCGGCTCCAGAAAATCAGAATATTCATGAGCTTTCTGGTCTGACTCAGACCTTCGGGAGCCACGACATTTTCTCGGTGGGACGAGAGAGAGGCAGCGCCGTCGGTGATTTTTTGGCACCTGAACGAAACCAGAAATAGATCCACAGGAGAACAGGGGGTGACGTCCCTTTGTTTTTGTTTGGTCCCCTCGCCCTGCTTTCAATTTGTGGAAACGTGTGTTTTTTTTAAAACCGCGTTAAACGTGCGCTCGGTTTCATAATGCGCTGGGTCGGTGGAGGAAGTGGTTTTGTTTTCGTGAGTTTGTTTAAACAAATGACCGAGGTTTTTTTTTTGTTTTTCACTCTGTCTGGCCAAGCAGAATTGCCACACTTTTTTAAAAGCGTGAAACACTGACCAGCGAGTGTTCTTTGCCACCCTCTCCTTTTGTGATTGCAAGACAGGGAGGCAGACACCAATGGCGCCTCGCACAATGGAGGTTTGTTTGTTTATTTTTTAATTTAATGGAGGGATTGTGGATGCTTTAAAATTTCCTTGTGCTGGGACAAAAAAGAGGGGGAGAGAAAGAATAATTAGCTCTTTTCTAAACAACTTTAGCGATAGATCCACAGGCATTACCAGGAGCCTCTTTCGGGACCTCATCCTGGGATATTTTAAACAAATTCGATTTGTTTCATTTAAAATCTTTTTTAAAGGTAAAAATGCACCCAGGTTATTTTTTTTTTAAGACGTGTAAGGCTTTGAAGTTACAGATTAATAAAGACGGCAATTTATAGTTTTTGGTTGAATAATAGGAGAAGTCCCACCCGGGCCCTCCGGTCTCCGAGGGTCCCTGCTCGGGCGCCCGCCTTGAGCACAGCCTTCCATTCGGTGGGCCTCTCGGCCGGGAAGTTTTCTTGTCCTGATGCGTGTCTTTCAGGATGTGGATCTTTACCTTGAGTCTTTACCTGTGTGGACATCGCTTCTGCTGACCTGGCTACAGCAGGCGTGCATTTCTGTGAGCCCCCAGACGGACGCACTCGGCGGCTGGTCAAGGAAAAAGTATTGAATCCGCAAGAACTCACCACAAGAAGAGCCCTTTGTTTTGTTATTTTTAAAGCCATTGTTATTAAACACCGGGTTTGGGGCGGTACTAATCCTGCGCTCTCTCCATTGGTGTGAATTAGGACATTTCAAGTAGAAATAACTGAGAAAAATTGTGAAGTCAGGTTAAGCACCGCAGTAAAATTTCCACCTTTTTAGACAGCCAAATCCACTGTTTTCTGGGCCTTTGGGGTGGCTCCAAATGGCCCTGACCGATCTTTACGGCCCAGAAACGAGCCTCACGCGGTCTTAGGACTGAGCTGCTGACGTTCGGTACGTGTCGGCTCTGTGTCCCTGGCAAGTCACAGCCCCTTTCATCCTCAATCTCCTGCCTAATGAAATAATGCCTGTTCCTTTCTCTGAGGCATGAGAATGGGGTATGGGAATTACACTAGAAAACTCTGGCACGTGCAGGTGTGCTGCAGCCTCCTGGCTCCAAGGGGACCCTGGAGCTGATCGCTGGGGCTGGAATGTCCGACCCTCCCTCCCTGGAGCTGTATGACTCCGGGCGAGCCACTCTCTGGGCCTCAGGCCTCCGCTGGGGAAAAGATCAGGCGCTCGGTCTCCGCGTTGTGGAGATTAGATCAGATCGGGCCGCAGGCTCTTAGCACACGTGGCAATAAGTGCCCCCTAAACGGTAGGTGCCTCACTACCCACGACAGCAGACACCATTTATTTCCTTCCCGTCTAGTTCCTTCGGCTTTTACTTCCATCGATGCCTTGAAAGGGAGAGAGTTGTCATTAGGAAGTTTTAGTCTGCCCCAAAGCAAATGCGACCCGATCGGAGGCTGGGGCTTGTGTTAGGTCAAATGATTTCTTTATTCTCCCGGAAAACCAGCCCAAGAATGGAGCCAGAGGACAATGGTTTATTTTTTTTCTTCTTCACTTCGGAGTGGCTTCTCTGATTTTTGTCTTTTTTCCCCCATTTGCAGGAAGGGGCAAGGAAAGCGGTTTCTCATACTACTCTTCTCATTGTTATCTGTTTCATAACAATTCTCTATTGAAATCTAGAGAAACATTGATCCTGAAGGAAACTGCCTTCTGATATTTATTTGCTTTCAACATTTATACTTTGTCTAATGCCAAAGAGAACGTGAGGCAGATTTTAATTTAAAAAATAAAACAAAAAACAGAAGGTGGGATGACAGAGGACCTGAGTGGCAGAGGAATCCAGTTGCCCTGGATTCCTAGTAGCCAAAGCAAAAACGGAAATACGGTAAAACCTGCGTATGTACAAACACATACCCTTGCACGAACATTTGATATAAAACTCAGGGGCTTTGCTTTTGGGAAGGTTGCTTAAGTGTAGTAAGCCAAGGTTCAGTTAGCACCTAAAGAAACTGTGAGGCGATTAAAAATAAGAAATGGTGGCCCTGCCCCGGAGGAGCTTGCAGTCGAGTCCATGGCATGAGTCACAGAACTAATATACACTGAGCAGCGGCTACGGGCCAGGTTCTGGGCCTGGCCCTGGGAACTCGGGGACGGACACACAGGCTTCCTGCCCCCGTGCAGAGAACACTCGTGAAACAAGGAGATAGAGGCACGAAACATAAAATTGTCTGTTTTCGAATTGCGGTAAATTACATATCACAGAAAATGTACCATAGTAGCTTTTTTCCCAGTTCAGTGGCGTGGAGCCCATTCCCACTGCTGTGCAGCCGTCACCTCCATCGGTCCTCGGAGCTCGTCTCATCTCCCCTCCCTGAAACTCTGGACCCGTTAAACTCTTAACTCCATGTTCCCCTTCTCTCCAGCCCCTGGCAAAATAATAACAATAATAATAGTAATAATAAAAGTCTTTGGTTATGTAAATATGGTCAGTGCTTTGAAGGAGATGAAGAGGGGACTGGGAAGCGGGTGGTGACTGGGAAGGAACAGAATGTGTGACAGCCCAGAGTCACAAAGGGCCTGCGTCGTTCACAGAAGAGAAAGGAGCCGTGTGGTTGGAGCAGGGGCCAGGGGGGCGAAAGGCTGAAGTTTAACGTTTGTGGGTATATTTGTAGATCCCCCTCATGACTCAGGAAAATCACGTCCACCGTCAGCAGCTTTTTGGTAACCTGGAGCAAGAACTCAGAGCTGCGTCCCAGAGCTCAGGGAAGCGCCTGCACCGAGAAGGCACGGAATCCTTACTGAATGGACACAGGGGGAAGGTCTGTGAGAGGCAGGTGACATCCCCCTTCCCATCGCAGTGGCCTGGACTGATGGCGTAAGGACAAGGGAATGTCCCCGTGGCCCTGGCACCAGGATGGTTTTTGTGAGGCCTGAGCAGTAGGTTCTAGATACAGAGCTGCAGGTGGCGTGAGAACTGGACAGTCCGACGGGAGCCCGGGCCAGCTGGCTGTCCTTCCACGTCCACGTGAAGGAGCGGCCCAGGTGCCTGTGCCCAAAGCCAGAGTAGTTTTTTCCAGACGGCCTGCACACCTTCTTACTTGCAGCTCAGAGGTATAGCCTGTCGCCTGGGAAGAGGTTCCTGTGACTTAGAAAATCATAATCGCAGGTATCTGTGCTCAGCTCCCAGGCAGGCCTCCCAGGAGCTCCTGTGGAACCTCCGAACCTGACCTTGGAGACTAGTTTCAGGGACCTTTGAATAGTATTATTTAGCGCCTCCCATTTATTTGGACATTGATGGGGATTGGTGGTGCCCATCCCAAATGTTGGCATCACTAGGTACCCCTCCCTCCATCTCAGCCCCGTAATGACCACCGAGGGAGGGACTTTTTTCATTTCCATAGAGGAAGGGGCTTACGTATTTCAATGCTACTGGCCGGATCTTCATGGAACCCATATAAAAATTGGGTAAAGTTATTTAGCAGCAAATTCTATTGGGAGTTTTTCCCTTATTTCTGCAGAGCTGAGTGGAGTCCCTTGAAACATAGAAAATTCTTTTTCTTGTCTGAGAAGAGCTGGCTGCCCGATGAAAGGCGATGCTTCCATGCCCATGCCTGTGAGAGCCCTCCACCCCCCAGTCCTCCTTCGAGGACCCTTCGAAGTAGTAACTGAAACAACGGCGAGCCTTCCGATGATGTTGTCTAGGGATCAAATAATAATATATTTGCAAAGGACCTACCACATGCCAGGAAAAATACTTAATCCAGATACGGGGTTTGCCACACTGTCTTGCACCAGTATCACAGGTGGTATTTTATTGTATGTATAGCAAGGAAACTGAGTCCCTTTGTCACACAGCCGCCAATAGGTGACAGAGCTGCGATCTGACTCACTGTTGTCTGACCCTATAGTCTAGGCTCTCTCTCCAGCCGGGACACCGCCTGCTCTCTCCCGTGTCTGCAAAATGGAGCATGGATTTAAGCGTCTCAAAACTTGAAACACTGACTCTCCCTAAAACCAATTTTTTTTTTTTTTTTTAAGTAGACAGACAGACAGACATGACTTGGGCCCTTAAAAATGTGGCCCAGCTGGCACATCAGTGGGCGTCGGCTGTTTCTAAATTGTCGCTTTAAATTTTGCCAGCATAGCTCCTGGGCTGGTAGTTTTGTTTGTTTTTTCATATATTTTGACACTGTTTATGTTCAGAGGGATGCCACCACTTCCCATTGTCCCTCCTCCCAGAGGAGACCAAGCCGGTGGTGTCCAGGGGCCACAGCAGGGGATGTGCACCCCGAAGGCCGCACCACCCAGGGGAAGCCATTGGGGTGAACGACAGTTTGACTTTTTACGCAGATGGGCTCACAGACCTGTGTTAATCTGTAAGCGGAGACCCATGGATGTTTCCCACTTTTCCCCTTCTTTCTGTTCATTTTTATCAATACTTCACAATATTTTCGGTAAGTTCAGGACCGAGTGAACGGTTTCTCTTTCGATGAATAGATTTATATTCTTGCTGTCCGCCGGCGTCCAGTGTAAAGACCGAGGAGGGAAACCCAGATAAAGGCCCTCGGATCCCTGGCTGCTCTCCCCTGGCTGCGTCCGATGTGTACTAATTTGCGGATTGTTTGTGTTCATTAAAAAGCAAATCCTGCCCCTTACAAAAAAGGCAAAGACACGTGGCCGCTGTACCTCTGCTCGCATACGCACCAGGAGACTTGAAAGCCAGCCAGGGCTTGAAAATATTGGATTGGGATAATGTTGTTTTTTGAAACACCTGGCTAATTTAATATAAAGTGTTTACACTTCATTTTTTTTTCTGGCAGTGGGTTTTCTATGTAGGTGGTGGAGGATTTCCTGTATGTTTTGCAAGCTCCGGGGCAGGAGGGTTTGCAGTAGGTTCCCTCTGTGGTCACAGAGACACGCGGGCCCGTTTCCTAATCTCCTGTCGTTGCCACGTGCAGAGGCAGATGCTGGATGGCGCTCAGGGTGTCCTTCGGGCCTGGACTGTGGGAAGGGCCCAGGTACGGTAATGAAAATGCCTGAGAACGGCCTTTTTAGGAATTCCAAATGCCGAGTCCCGGAGAAGAAAGACCCTCGTTTCCCTAACCCCGTGCTCCCGTCGGAATTGCTGTCTACGGACCTCGTGGGTGAAACGGATATTTCGAGCATGACTGAGCTCATTAGGAGCCCCGAGGCGCTTCCTCTACTGGGGCTCAGACGTTTCAAAGGATGGGGGTCAGGGAGGGAGGAGCTGTGGGCGTGCTGCTTCGGGGCGAGGGTGGTGGAAACAACAGGTTCAGAATGTATCTCTGCGCCCTGCAGAGCTCGGCAGGCGTGGGCTGGGAATGCGAATTTTTAGGAAGATAAGTGCTTCCCATCTGTGGGCAGGAGAAAGTGGGCTTTGGGGGGGGAGCTGAGGCTGTTTGTTAGATGGGGGCAAGGGCATGCATCTGGGGTACAAATGCATTTAATGCGCTTCACTTAGGCGGGGAGAAGCGTGTTTGTGGCCTGGGGGACTGGTGCAGTTGGGAGGCAGTTTTAAGAGTCAGAAAATGGGGAGGGGGTGCGTTTCGCAATTTCCAGCAGTACCCGAGGGCATTTGTGGGGAGCGGGAACATCACATCACAGTACGACAGGAGCCCTGGGATCCGAGTTCAGGTGACCCGAGTGCTGGGCCCAGCTCCCTCCGGTGCGTGGTGTGACTTTCACAGCCTCGGCTCCCCGGCCCTCACTTTCTTCACGTGCCAAAGGGAAGACAAGACACTCGTCTGGATGCCAAGCTCTTGGGTTGCTTTCAGCTCCAGAAATCCATGACTCCTTCCTTTGGGCATTCG